TGAAGCATGTTGGCTCGACATCGGGGGGGGGGGAGTGACGGCATCCAGGTGGTTACTCGATCCATCCAGTCTTTTCACGACATATCGTTCGGTACGGGCCAATTGGTAGGGACCCTCTGAAAGATATATCCGACGAGTTGAGTCCCGGACAGAAGATGGTGTAACCAGTGGTGGTTACGCTCACTGAGCTTAAAAGCCAGCCTCTTGCTGCACACTGGGCACGTGATTCCGGTTGACAGTGTGTGGCGCTATTGGGTGGCAGTCAAACACCCTGTTCTTTTAGAGAACATCCCCACTGCCCTGGCAGTCAGATAGCAGCATTCTGCTAGCTGTGTAGGATCATTTGTGCGTTTTACTGTTAGAGGCTTTTCCTCACGTTGCAGACAGCGCAGACATTCGTCACGAAACATCGCAGATGTCATGACCAATCATTGTCTAGTCGGATTGACTGTTTTTCTCTGCCGTCAAAACTAATATACTTTGAGTTCTTCTTCCATCCCCTCACGTGTCTGCAGCTTCTTCCTGCCCACTCCACTAAATGAATCGAAGTAGAGTCTACTGTAAATGTTGAACCTAATCACTGTTAACGTTACTCGATTGTTTTGGGGTATACTGGGCGCGATCTAGAGCCTTAAACAATATGTGGTCCAAAGCCAATCTGACTGTGGCTTATTCAAGAGCTCGATTAGTCTCTAAATTTATTTTTTACCATTTCATGAGAGAATAAAGGGTTTACATGTTGTGTGATTCTATTTTAACTGATCATATTGTCAAATCGATTCGAAACTGGAGCCGCCAGTAGAATCGAATGATTTACCACTGCAAGGAGATGAATTCAAGAACCGCCTAAGCCAATCAAGTTACGTTCTGGTGAGTTTCTGCCAATCTGAAGTACTGACTGATTCACAGTTCTGTCCCTCCGCAGTGGGCAAAACAATGATCGTTACAGTGTCGTTTTATTGGCGGAATTTTTCTAAAACACCTCGGATAGCACTTTTGATTGGTGCTTTTGAAAGCGCAGGATATCAGCTTTGATTGGACTCATTGTGAGTGGTTCAAAGTTATGAGGCGGGAAAAATGCTAACAAGTGCTTGAGGTATCAAATTCTTGCGCCAGATAGTCGTAACACAATTTGACACTCAGTTGACTGTACCTTGTGTTTCTACAGTATTGATACATGCGATCACCCACGTCCACACACTCAGCATCAAACCTGGGCCGAGCAAGCCACCCACAAATTCTCCACGAGAACAAGCGCCGCGGCGGTTACGAGATGCTTCTCGCACGCCTACACTACGACCTGCTACCACACGGTGCAGTATCGATGTGGCTCGAAATTTTATTGCCTCAGGGTTACCATATCTCGACTCTGGACAAGTGGACGCCTCACTCTCCTCCACGACGCCCCGATGGTCGACATCGCTGCCAAAATTATAGGTATGACCTCTATAAAATTTTATATGGACGTAAACTTTGAATTTTGAGAACTAGTCATTTTTAAAGGATTACTGTTGTAGGCAATTCTAAGTCGAAAGCTCGGCAATCCGCCGAAGTAATTGAAGCGACTATCAAGGCCGTACCCCAAGAAAATCGCCAAACACTGCGCCCCCTCACCGCCCAAAGTGGCATACCCCAGACCGACCATAAAGCTCAAGGCGCGATCAAGGCACGTCAAGCCATTCTTGACAGGCGCCAACAAAACCAAGCGCCCACGTTTTGAGATGAATTTTCTCTTGCATGGGTCAAAGGGGAGACAATTTGTCGACAATATGTACAATTCAACGGTAAGGTGGGCATTTCACCGTGTGTCCAACGTATGCCAGCAGCCCAAAATGGACTCTTGCTGTGACTCCGCAAATTGTCGACCCTCAAGTCTATTTCGACTGTGTTGTTAACAATGTGGTGCCTCCAATTCTGGCAAAATTCCCCCAAGTTTGCCTTCTCGAGGTGTGCATATTCAGCAGGGCAATGCTGCCCCGCCCTGTGCTTGACAAGCCATGTTTTGCAGTCCAACAGTGTTAACCGTATCAGCATGTTTAACCAGCCTCCGAATAGCCCAGACTAAAACGTCTTAGATTAAGGGTTTTTAATGCTATTCAAAGTCGTGCATTACCAGAAGAGAACTCCTACAATCGAGGAACTCATTGGTACTGTTGAATGTGCATTTTATGAGATGTCTGTCAAAACTCTGGTGAAGAGATTTGTCACGCTACAGAAGGTTATGGAAACCTCCATGGAGGTACTCTCAGGGGCATTAAGTATAAGCTTCCCCATCTCAAAAAGGATTGTACGATTCTTGACCTGCCGATCATTGTGCTGTGTCAACGTACAGTAGCGTTAATGATCAATTGAATTCGCAAGTCGAAGTACCTTAAAATATGTACAATCAATTTAATTTCAATCGTTGTTTATGCATTGTCGAGGTTCAATACAAAAGCAAAGTTGCTTTTAGCCCTAGAGCATACTTTAATCAAGTGAAAACACCGTAACGATCATTTGGACCACAGGAAATAGTTCCTCGAGCAATATAATGCCACAAAATAATTCCAAGTAGCCCCATGGTGCTGCCTTGAAGAGCCGCCTCCTCCATTGTATTGTTGTGGCTTAAACATTGAATTGTATAGTTTGTACAAGGTTAAATTGGGTCAAATGCGATTGGCGAGAGTCCAAATTTGGGTGAAAAGAAAAGCACAATATGCACTCTGTAGTCCTATTGGGTAGTGCATCCGATGATCACAGATCCGTCACTGTACTGTACAGTAGTAACGCTAGGGGCATGTTGCAATGGGGGATATTTTTAGAAAACGAAAAAGTGGTTCCAAGTACAGTTTTGTACCTTTTTTACCTCTTTTTTCTGCGATTTTTTACCCAACTCACTATACCAAAAGTAGAAAAGGTCCTTGACGCCTATTTCGATACCGTGCAAAAAAAGAGGTAAAATCTATTTTGATTGGCTCATGCTATTTCTGAAAACTACTTGGAACTTCCCCTTATTGGTACAGTAGTTTTCTCAAATTGATTCCAAACTGGAGCCATCAGCAGAAACGAATCTCTTAATGGATTCAATATCTCGCTAAGCCAATCAAATCACGTTTTGGTAAATTTCTGTCAATCCAAAGGGTTGACTGGGCCCAGTTCCTCCGCATTGGGCAAAACCATATACTTCGAAGTATATATTAATATTTGTTACTTCCCCTGAACTTGGAACTTCCCCTTAACGTTAGGGAAGTTGTTCATCTGATTGGCTATTAATAGCGATAGATATTCACAGGATAGTAAGTACTCAGTATAGTTTGCACTTGAATAAATGGATTCGAGTGCTATTTGGCAAAATGACCCACAAGTCCAAATTTAGGCAAAAACGTTACTACGGTATGGTGCAAGAAAGCTAGAAATGACGAACAGGCCAAATCTTTTGCCCTACGTTT